AAATTCGATTCTTTCCCCCCCTCTCTGGTTGTGGTGATGATGATGATAGTGATGGTGATGGTGATGGTGGCGGTGGTGGTGGTATTGATGATGATGATGATGATGATGGTAAAGGTGGTGGAGATGGTGATGGTGGTACGCGATGATCGAATAAAAATACGCATGCGTACGCGCGCCAAAAAAAAATTATTAATCATTCAATAAAATTTAAATAAAGTTTCGGTTAAATAAGAAATAATAATAATAATAATAATAATAATTTTTTTTAGTATTATTATTATTATTCGCGAGATGCGTGCGCGCGCGTAATTAATTCCGTGTCATTGTTTAAAATTAAACTCGAACCTAACTTAACTTTTTTACGTTGCGTTTTTTTTTCGGGGGGGGGGAGGGGGAACCCAGTTTTTATATGTACGAATGAAATTATTATTATTATTATTATTATATTTACCTCGATACGGTCGAATCTTTTTTATCATCACCTGGATCGTCTCCTTTCTACGTTCCAGAAATCACGTTCGCACGGTGGAAATTTTATCTATGTAGTTTTTTTACGAGAATGATTATTATTATTCTTACTTCATGGTAGATTCGTGAGCTCCGCCATTTTTTTTTTTTTTTTATATCTCGACGTTAAAATTGTATTATAACGGTTATTACTTTACCCAGAATGATTTTGCCATTTTTTCTTTTTTTGTTCTGCACGTTTACGTTGGCATAGGGTAAAATCGAACGTCACGAATGAACCACCTGGAAAACAAAAAAAACAATCAAATTATTATTATTATTATTATTATTATTATTATTATTATCATCATTATTATTATTATTATTATTATTATTATTATTATTTCGATTATTATTACCAAATCGAATTCGTTCAAACTTGATGGAGAAAAGAAAAGTGTCGTAATGTGCAAATGCACAAGTTCGATGGTAATGTGATAGGTCAAGTCAAGTAATTTGTTTTTTTTTTTTTGGGGGGGGGGGCAGGGCCTTTTTCGATTTGACATCCATTAAAACTTTTACCATCGAAGGGATTCGATTAGTTTTTTTATCGATATATCGATATATCGATTCAGCGCATTTGTCGTTTATTTTAAATAAAAGGATGATCTTTGAGGCAATATATCTTTTACCTCGTTTTTTTTTTTTTTAGATTTTGAAAGGAATGGAAGTACGAATGTGTGGTGTTTATGATAATGATAATAATGATAATGATGATGCAATTCGTGCATTTTTACAACGAGTTATTTATTTATTTAGAATAACTGTATTTGTATGAGTAAAGAAAAAAAAAAAATGTAAAACGATTGCAAAATAATAACGATTCGATCGATCGAATCGCGGTTTCTTTTACGATAATATTAATAATAATAATAATAATAATAATAATAATAATAATAATAATGATAAGTAATAAATCTTAGAATTTCGTTTCTATACGTTTATGGATTTAAAATTTCTATAATTAAAAAAAATAGAATTTTTTTATCATTGTTTGAATTCAGGCCCGCCATTTTTCGATCTCAAACCGAGAGACAAAAACACTGAACTGACGATGACGATGATGATGATGATGATGATGATCACTTCATTAATATTTTTCACACGAAAGCTCTCTCTCTCTCTCTCTCTCTCTCTTTTCATGACGTAAAACCAACAAACAAAAATTTTTTTTATTTAATTTTTAAATTCTTAATAATTTTAAAAATTGATAAATAATAATAATAATAATAATAAAAAGCCTGACGAGTAAAATTTTTTTTTTTTAAATGATTTATAAACGAACATTTTTTCTTTTGTTACTTTATTAATAAAAAAAAAAAACGCCATCTTTGAAAAAATGCGCGGAAAATAATAAAAATAATAATAATAAAAATTATAATAGTGAACATAATAATAATATTTTCGCCTAGTGAACATAATAATAATAAAAGTACAAAAGTACGTATTATTAAAATAAATTGTTTTTTTTTTTTTTTTTCTTATTTCTTAATATTCATTTTTAATAATACGTAAACGTTTTAATGTTGTGTGCATGTTTAAAAAGAGAGAGAGAGAGAGAGAGAGAGAGAATTAAATTTCACTACGTTGAATAAGAGGTCAAAGGTTAATATAAAAGAAAATCTCATGTGTAAATAGTAACATGAAGAAAACATTTTTTTTTTTTTTTAGGACGAATGGAAAAAAAAAACTTTCTTTGTTTCATATACGTATATGGACGTACGAATGACAAAATAAATTATTTTCGTCTGCTTTTTCTCGTACATACATTCCCCCCCCCCCCCGTTTAATAAACAAATAATAATAATAATAATGATAAAATTAAAAATATCATGCGTAATCACAATATAAAACATTATTAATATTATTAATATTATTATTATTATTATTATTATTATTATTATTATTATTATTATTATTATTATTATTATTATTATTATTATTATTATTATTATTATTATTATTATTATTGCGTCATAACGCAATTCGATTACTTTTTTTCTATTATTGAACGCTTAATCGATAATGATGATGATAATAATAATAATAATCGTCGTTTTTAATTTAACGATCCCAATGCTCCCGAAGGAATTATTCTCACTATTATTATTATTATTATTATTATTATTTAAATCCAAGAGCATTTGTCAAGGACTTTTTTTTTGTGTGTGTAAATCCGTTCCGGATTACAATTTTGTTTTTATATATATTAATAAAAAAAAAAAGTTTTTTTTTTTTGTTTTTGTAGGTCAACTCGTGTTTATTTCAATGTCTCGAGCTTGAACTCTCGATGACGATGATTACGTAATACGTGATGATAGGATTCCAATTTTAACGTACAGAAAATTACGTAAAACTCCCCTTAAACGTAAAACCATAAAAAAATATCATGAAAAAGGGATTCCCGGATTATCCAGAAATAAATTCCAGAATTAAAAAAAAAAAAAAAAATTTTTTGGCTCGAACCCGCCACCGCCACCGCCACCGCCACCAGACGATTCGAACCACGAAATTTTCTCATTACTCTCTAACGTGTTATTTTATCATCATCATCATCATCATCATCATTATTATTATTACCGGTTAATTTTTTCTATTTAATTAATTAACGACAGTTTTCCCTCGTCTATGTGTGGTCGTCATCACTGATGAACTTGACCATTAAAAAAAAAATAATAATAATAATTTTAGGCTTTTATAAAATAAAAAGAAAATTACGTAACGTTGAAATGGCGAATTATTTTTTTTAAAATTATCATTATTATCATTATTATTATTATTTAATAAAAGTAAATTTTTATGACGATAATAATAATAATAATAATTGCTTTTAAAATAAAAAAAAATTCGCGAGTTTAAAAAATTATTATTATTATTATTTAACATATGCGTGCGAGTAAGTGGTCGCGAGTCGTTGTAAAACCGGAAATGAATACAAAAAAAGTTTTTTTCACGATATCCTGAATGTTGTTTTGTCAAAAGAGAGAAAGTTTGTTTGTTTGTTTGTTTGTTTTTAAAAGGAACATTATAACAAATTACGTTTTTGTTGTCGTTTTTTGTTGTTGCGCGGTTGTTGTTGTTGTTGTCGTCACGTTGCATTTTTAAAAACGCGGGAATACAAATTCCTTTTACTTGTCAATTTTGCATTTCCTCTCAGGCTATATAAAAAAAATTTTTTTTTTTTTTAATAAATTCGAAAAATAAAAAAAAAATATAACAAACAAACCAGTCTTTGTTTTCCTTTTCGAGAAAACTTTCACTAACGTTTTTTTTTTTTTTTTTTTTTTTTTTTTTTTTTTTACCGGTAAATAAATATTTGATGGAGTCGAAGGGGTTAATTACATAATTACCCCGTTATTAAAATTTTAAAATGGCGTCCCGCGTTTAAAACTTATTTACTTAAAAAAAGATATCGTGTAAATACTCACTTCCATATTTCCCAAAACGTTTCCATTTTTCCTCCCTCCCCCCGCCGCCTCCGGATGTAAAATAAAACATTCAATTTAAAAATCATTTCTTCTGCTACTTAACCTACGAAAGAAAAACAAAATTATTATTATTATTAAAACTGCGACAAAAATAGGTACGGGGGAGGGAAAAAAAAGTAACCGACGACCCTCCATTTTGAATTTTTTTTTTAAAAGTTTCTGTTGCCACTTCGTTCGTCGTGCGAGCAACGGTGTTACGTCATTAACGTATCAACTGTTCGAACGAACGTATCGCAAGTTTCGATAACGTTCATGATATTATTATTATTATTATTATTATTAATTACACATACACGTTATTGAATGTTTATTTAAAAAAATTATTTTTGTCTTCCGTTCGTTTTCCCCCCGTTCTAATAATAATAATAATAATAATAATAATAATAAAACTTGATCATCGAGTAAGATTTAAGTAACATTGTTGTTGAATTTACGTAACAAACAAGTGAGATTTTTTTTTTTTTTTTTTTTTTTTTTTGGTTTGAGTTTATCAACTTTAATCGCAAATAATCGTGATTAATGCGTAACGCGCATGCGTACATGGAATAGTTCACAACAAACAACAAACAACAAGAAAAAAAATTATTCTTTTGTAACTCACGTTATCACATTAAAAATTCAATTTTAAAATACTTATTGCTACATAATAATGATAATAGTTTTTTTAAAAGCAGAAGATTTTTTATTTTTGATAAAATAAATTAGTAGGCAAAAGAAAAAAAAAACGTTGTTGAAATCAAAACTAAAATTTTTTTTTAACATTTGGGTAAGGTTTATTATTATTATTATTATTGAAATAAGGTTAGCAATTTTTTTTTCTCTCTTGTGATTGTTGTTGTTGTTGTTGTTGTTGTTGGTATGAGCAACAAACATATGAAACAAACAAACAAAAAGATTGCTAACAATTGTAATAATTGATTTTATGCAAATGTAAGAAAGAATCCGTTGTGATTTTTTGGTTTTTTTTTTTTTAAATTTACAGATAACATCCTTTCGAATAGAAAAATGGGAGTTTTATCTAAACCTTACAATGTCACATTTCAACTGATAGCATCTTATTTATCACAATTGTACATCAATCCGATTAGAACAAAATCGATGACAAGTTGTTTCCTCGCTGGTCTCGCTAATTACATGTCCCAAAAAATAATCCATGGAAAATTAGCAAACGAAGATACATTTTTGGCATTTCTAATATTCGGCCTTTTGTTCGGTGGTTCAATACCTCATTATTTCTATAAGGTTATATCGAATCATTTGTTGATCAATTCGAAAAATCCACTCTTGCAATTGTTTCTCATCGAAAGGATATTTTTCATGCCTGCATTTTCATTTTTTTCACTCTACATCATATCAAGATTGGAAAAAAAATCACATGAGAAATCATTGGAGAGTGCTATAATTGCATTTCCATCTGTCGTCAAAACAAATTTAAAATATTTATCATTGTTGCAATTCATAAACATTTATTTCGTTCCACCCGTGTTGAGAGTTTTGGTGACAAATTTGATTGGTTTTTTTCGAATATTAGTTTTGTGTTATAAAAAACAAAAAGATGATGACAATGTGAAAACAAAATAATAATAATAATAATCCATTACATTAATCATTTTTATTAATGATTTATTATTATTATTATTATTATTATTCCTTCGAGTGATTTTTTCCACACACATATATTTTGTAGCTAGCAATAAGAATTTTATCAATAGTGTGAGTCCTAATAATTTTTATTATTATTATTATTAATCTTAAATAATCACGTGATTGATTTAACTTAATTCTGTTTTGTCTCAGTCACAATAAATACTTATAGCAGACGATAAAATTAATTAAGTTTTATCATCATCATTATTTATATTTTTTTTTTTTTTATGTAACTTTTTACTCGATAATGTTGTTTTGTACACAACAAAATATATTTGTAAATGTACACGTGTGTGTGTACACGTGTGCGTGTGCGTGTGAGTGCACGTGCTTGCATGAATTAATATTTTTTTTTTTTTAAATAAGATGTAACGAGAATGAAATTTTATTAATAATAATAATAATAATAATATTTATATCCTTGCTCTTGGTTATTTATTTTCGTTATCGAATCCGTACAAGGTTATTATCATTAATATTTATTTATTTATTTATTTATTTATTTATTTTTATTTATTAACTATTTTTTTGCTTCTGCCGCTGGTTTTTTTTCTCCCTTTGTACTTGAATTTGTTTTTATCGACACGAAAAAATTATTTATTTATTTAAATATCCGGTGATAAATTATTCAAATGTGAATATTAAAAAATCCTTAAATAATAATAATAATAATAATAATAATAGGTTCGTGTCGCCATATTGTCGTTGTTGTTGTTGTTAATAATTTCAATTAATTTTATTTTCATTTTTTTTTTTTTTTTTTTTTTCAGTTTTCCTTCCTTTTCTCCTCCTCTTCCTCCTCCTCCACCTTCTTCTTCCTTTTTCCTTTTTCCTTCCTCTGGAGTCTTTCTTCGTTTCATAAATAAAAGTATTAACTTATTATAATCACTCATGGATTTTGAAAATCATCTCGCTCCCGTTAATTTTCAATTTTCAAAAAAGCAAAAAGCGGATTTATCATTTAAAAATTTAACGTACGAAGTTAAAAAATTAAAATGGAGGAAACCGTTTTTGGGTAAAAAAAAAAAAAAAAAAAAAAAATTTTTTTTATATCTTAAATCCATTTTATAAATAATAATAATAATAATAATAAAATGCGATTTATTTATAAAAACAGAAACGAAACAAATTCTTCACGGTGTCGATGGAGAATTTCGTTCTGGAGAATTGACGGCCATAATGGGACCATCCGGAGCTGGAAAATCAACATTACTCAACATTCTAGCCGGTTACAAGTGAGTTTCCATCTCTCTCTCTCTCTCTCTCTCTCACTCTCTCTCTCTCTCTCTCACTCTCTCTCTCTCTCTCTCACTCTCTCTCTCTCTCTCTCTCTCTCTCTATTCTTTTCCTCTTCCGGTTAAATTTAAATTTATAATCTTATAATCACGGTCGGTGATATAATTAATTTAGTTTTAATTTTAGATTAGGTACCTGTTTTTTGTAAGTACCTGATTCCATTATTTATATTATTATTGATTTAAACTTCGTTTCATAACATTTTTTTATTTATGTCTATTTATTATTATTATTATTATTATTATTAATACTTTTGTCATTGCGTAATTAATTTTTTTTTTCAATGAAATTAGACTTTGACGCGCCTATCGGTTATAATAATAATAATAATAATAATAATAATAATAATAATTTTATTTACAAATTGGTTAAAAAAAAAAATAGTATGTCACGGCCGTGAAAAAAAAACTCAAGATTGATGTCTACATATTTTTTTTGCGCGCCTAATATAGATAAAATATTTTACGTTTTATTAATAATAATAATAATGATGATGATGATGATGATAAATTATTATTATTAAGCGAAACGTTTCGTTATTTCAGGTTGAAAGGTGTTAAGGGTAGCGTGTACGTTAACAACGAAGAAAGGAGTAAGAGGGATCCCCAATCATTCAAACGTATTTCCTCGTACATTCTCCAGTACGATCACCTGAGGGAAAACCTCACGGTTTTGGAAGCCATGACTATGGCGAGCGAACTCAAATTGGGACGTAAAGTGCCCACGAAACAAAAACAAACACAAATAAGAGAATTGTTGGACATGCTAGGATTGAGTCACTGTCTTCAAACGGTGTCCGCGAAGTTGTCCGGAGGGCAGAAAAAACGTTTGAGCATAGCATTCGAACTCATAACGAATCCACCGATAATATTTTTAGACGAACCTACAACGTTTGTACCTTATTATCATTATTATTATTATTATTAATTTGATTGCGTTCGCATTTGTAATCGGTTTCACTTTTTCCAGAGGTTTGGACAGTTCGTCTTGTTCTCAGTGTATATCCTTGTTGAAAATGTTGGCCGAACAGGGGCGAACCATAGCTTGCACTATACATCAACCTTCGGCATTGATTTTCGAAATGTTTGCCAAAGTCTATGCTCTCGCCGACGGATATTGTATTTACGAGGGTCCCACGAAGGATTTGGTTCCATACATGTCGGAGAAAGGATTAAAGTGTCCCGTGTACCACAATCCGGCGGATTTTCGTAAGGGAGATTTATTTTTATAACATCCTGTCTGTTTAGTCACGTGACCAACACACCCCGAAACCACACACGTTAATTTTTATTATTATTATTATTATTAAATAACCTTCGATTTATTAATTATTAACAACAAAAAAATTTTGCAACGACACTAAACTACCTTGACATTGTTATTTCACAACAATAATAATAATAATAATACCGTTATTAATTTTTTTTCTCATCTACACACACGCAGTTTTAGAAGTGGCCGTCGGCGAATACGGTCCCGTTTTAGACAGTTTAATTATCAAATCGACGGAATGCGACGAGGGTGGTGGTGAAAATGGCGACGACGTCGACGACGACGACGACGATAGGAAAATTAAAAATTCAAAATTTCAAATAAAAAATATAAAAATAACAGACATTAAACATTGCATAAAACATCAGGGGAAAGATGAATCCCAATTCGCGGGATTCAATGGTAAAAATAATAATAATAATAAGAAAAAAAAAGGAGGAATCAAATCTCAGATCTCACAAATATGGCCGACGAATTTCATTTATCAATTTTATTGTTTGTACGCGACGAACATAATCATTTTTCAAAAAGCTTATGTGAGTATGCGTAGGATTTCCCACGATGTGTCGGGGGGGGGGGAGGGGCTGTTGTTTTCTCCATCCATTGTAATTATTATTTTTTTATTTTGCAGAAATATCGGATAACACAATTTCTAGCACATTTCCTATCCGCCGTACTACTCGGTCTCGTTTTCATAAATACCGGAAATGATGCATCCATGGTGAGATCGAATCTCACTTTTATATTTGGTGTTTTAATTTTCGTCATGTTCACCGGGAAAATGACGGTTACGACAGCGAGTAAGAAGGAAAATTTCCCTCTTTCTCTCTCTCTCTCTCTCTCTCTCTCCAATTGAAACTCAATTATTTTGTTTTTTTCAGTGTCCAACGAATTAAAAGTTCTCAACGTCGAACATTTCAACAGGTGGTACTCGTTACTTCCTTACTATTTATCACTCATTATAATCGAAATACCCGTTCAGGTTTGGAAAATTTGTTTCTCTCTCTCTCTCTTTTGTGCCACGTTCAACTCCAGTAATATTGGTCATCTTGTTACAGATGGTGAACACGGTTTTCGGTGTGACGGTTTTATACTATTTGTCAAATCAACCCTTCGAAGTTTTCAGATTTACTTATTTTCAAATATTTTGCGGTGCTACTGCTTTGGTGGCTCAAGCTATTGGATTTTTCCTCGGGGCATGGGCTCCCATAAAGGTCGAACACCTCCTCCTCCCCCCACAAAAACTTCCTCCCCTTTTTTGTATTTTATTATTGACGGTTTATCATGTTCATCAGGTTGCCATATTCATGGGTCCAATCACTGCTGCTGCTTGTTCCGCATTCGGTTTCACAATGAAACTACAAGACAGAGCAATCATTATACAATTTATGTCTTGGTTGAGTTATTTCCGTTCGTCCTTTTACAGCATTGTGACATTGGTGAGTTCCTCTCTCCGCCATTTTTTTTTTTTTTTTTTGCTTTTTTTTGATTTTTCCGCTGTTGATTTATTTTGTAATTTTTCAGTTGTACGGATACGATAGAGAACTCCTCGAATGTCCAGAACTTTATTGTCATTTTAAAAGTCCAACGAAAATATTAGACGAATTAGGAATGAAAAATGTTAACATTTATGCCAATTTAGTGTACATGTTGTGCATAATCGTCGTCATGCACGTTTTAACGTTTTTAACACTTTACATTAAATTACATAAACGTTAATATATATATACATAATATTATCATTATCATTATTCTAACGTGAAATTATTTAATTAAATTAAATTAAGAGAGAAAAATCGTTTTTTTTTTTTTTTTAAATAAGTGGTGTACAGAGAGTATATATATATATATATGATTGAATTAATTTTTTATATTTACTGTTCCTTTATTCTAAAATTTGTGATGTAATAATTGTCACTTTGTTGTAAATTATTCTAAATTATATAAATATAATAATAATAATAATAATAATTGTTTTTATTTAAATTGATTAACTTTAATGAAAAATTTCTAATTTACCTTGAATCCAAATCATTCATTCGAACATCATCATCATCATTCGAAACCTTATCATTATTATTATTTATCCATTTATTTGTGAATTATAATCAATAAGGATTATTTATTTAATTAATTCAACAATAATGTCTCATTATTATTATTATTATAACTAAAATTAAATAAATTTTTATATATTTACATTATTAAGTGGTTCATTTTATATACATAATGACTTTTTCTCTCTCTCTCTCTCTTTTTAAATTTGTAGTTTGAATACAAACTATGTAAAATTATTATTATTATTATTATTATAGGTATTTCCTTATTGATTTTTCATAATAATAATAATAAGAAGAAAAAGAAGAAGAAGAAAGAAATGAAAAAATTTAATTTAATAAAAAAAAAAACTTACCTTTATTAACAAACATATAATTACAATTTTGTATTCCATTATAAATGAAAGATTTTCATTAATAATAATAATATAATTTAATTAAACTATTAAACATTTATTATATTATTATCACCATAATTTTAACAATATATTAATTAAACTTAAATGAAATGAAAAAATTTTTTTTTATTACACTCAAAACCTTTTGATACTTGTTCTTAAAATTATGACGGTTAGACGACGAGTTCCGTTCTAAATAATTTTTTGAAATTTTCATAAAAGCAGCAGCGCATTCTGTCGGTAATTATTCGAAATAAAATTTCCCGCTTTTTTTGTTTACTGTTTGTTATTAGCCGCGTTTTTTGACATATTTAATCAAAGTAAATAATACTAATTTTTTTTTTTATTTTGGGGTAAAAAATTTAACTAATTATTAGTTAAAATTCATATTCTTTTCTTTTATACATAAACAAAATGAAAAAAAATTTAAAATAGTTCTTATTTAAGGAAAAAAAAAAAAAAAAAATACAATAATTAAATTAATTGTTTATTATTATCGAATGGCGATTAATTTCCATTTGAGCAAAACGAATGCGGCTATTCGACATATGAAAACGATTATGACTAATGCCGATACATCGTTCCAAAATTGATCTCCAGACCAATCGACTTCTCTTAAAAATTTATCCGGATAACTATAGTGACAGTAATGCGTGTGACATTGTAGGTTCGATCTTTGTCCACCGTAAATGGCTCCCACGTAACCCTCGATACCGTATCTCAAATAACTCACGTAGCTTCCCCATTTCATATAATAGGGTAAATCCTTGAGTGCAACGCCGAAACCGGAAAACATCATTATCGGTACTGAGAGTGTGGGTCCTAAGAAGGTACCATTCTGCAATAAAAATTGTTTTTTAATTGTAAGGTTCGGGGAAAGGTTTTATTGTTTACATTCTAATACGACTCACAACAACGTTGAAAACTGCTCCTATCATGAGTCCGAATCCTTGTGCGACAAAAACAACCAATAAGGATATTGTAAAAAACATTGAAAGCCTATTTATTTCAGGTGGTTGATCGCTCATGAAATAAACAATTATCGTGAATAAAACGCAACCGATTATCGTTACGGGTAAATCGACAACCGTGAGGGATACGTAATAAGCTTTGAGCGAATACCATCGATTAAAATGTTCTTTGATTAATATGTTTATTTCACTAGGAACTGAAACGTATAAAAATTTTCATTATTGACCCACACAACTTTGAAAAAAGGTCAAAGGTTACAAGTACTCACAAGTCAGTATCGTTAACATCATCGTGGACATCATGTGATGCATTAAAATGGCAAACATGAGATTGTAATTATCTAAAATTCTACTCGCATCATCTCCGGCTTTTATAAAAAGTACTCCCAACATGATACCTGTTAAAATGTTAACGGCTATTCTCAAATGAGTTAAAGTCTAGAAAAAAAAAATTTAATTAAAATTTCGTAGAAAAAAAAAATTTAAAAATAAATAAAATTTAACTGACAGAATCTCTTTTAGCTTTTATAAAACCTCTTCTCATTAAAACTTTTACTTGATTCATCGTCGACGTTTCTTGAAGCGATTTATTTTTTTCACTTTTTTCAAAATAGTCTTTTCTCAATCCCGGGTATTTGGGTACCGTCATTTCCATCGGATTCTCGTACCACGACACGTTTTTACCATTTTCCGTTGCCGTTACCATTTTTTGAATTTTTTCTTCGCCGTATTCACCGCTTGCCAATTCGATAACTAACAACAATAATTTTTTTTTTAAAATTCTACATGTTAACATTTTCATTAAATTATTATCATTATTATTCTCACCGAAATCGGCAGGATTGTGATATTTCGGACAAGGCATGCCGATTTTCTCTAAAAATGGTATTAAATTTATCGTCGAACCCTGATACAAACAATGTCCTCTCGAAAGTACGTAAACTAAATCGAATAATTGAAAAAGGGAAGCACTCGGTTGGTGTATCGTGCAAATGATTGTTCTTCCTTGTTGTGCCAATTCTTTAAGTAGCTGAACGCATTGCGTACACGATGAACTATCCAAACCCCTAAAAAAAAATTAATTTCAATTTAATTTCTTACTATTTCCTCTATTTAAATTTTTTTTTTTTAAATTGATTAATAAAACATAATTACGTCGTAGGCTCGTCTAAAAATAAAACAAGGGGATTGTTAATGAGTTCTAAAGCGATGGACAATCTTTTTTTTTGCCCCCCGGATAATTTCCCTGCTTTTGTCCATCTTGCATCGTGTAAACCTATCGTTTTGAGAATCTTTGTTATCTGTAACAAATAATAATGATGATGATTTGTATTTTGTATTGGCAAATCAATGGCGTTTGTAAACAAAACGTACAATTTCTTCTTTGGCTGATGTTTTAACATCGACGCCCAATTTTAAATCCGCAGCAATTTTCATGTTTTCCCAAGTTGTCAACAAGGTTTGAAGTCTGTCGTCTTGTTGTATGTAACATGACATTTTTCTAAAACTGTTTAATTCTCTTTCGGCTCCGTCGATCAAAACCGTACCATCGACACCTGTAATTCTAAAACAAAAAAACAGTTGAAGGATTTTTTTTTAAAAAAAACGTTTTCCTAGAATTCGAAATTCGAATTTTCATGGAGAGAAAAAAGGGGGAAATTTTTCCAATTGAGTGTCCTAATAATACGTTTCCATAACTGACGAGATTATTTAAGACTTATTTATTTATTTATTAACTGAACTTATGTTAGGTCTCAGACTATCAATCAGTGACCGACCCTAACAATGTATATAAGTTCATATATTTTCAATGTCGTTTAGAAATAATTATTATTATTATTATCATCATCACGAAAACATTTTTCTCATCGAAACAATTTATTTGAAAATCTCGACCGCCATTTTTTTTTTTTTTTTTATTACGTTTACGACCTTTTAATGACGATTTTACAATTTTTTTTAATTCGTACGTACGTTTTGTTTAATTATTATTATTATCAACGATCGAAGAAAATTATGTTATCGTGACACCTCCCCTCTCCTTCCTCCATCCCTCCATCCCTCCCCCACCTCCCACACAAACCATCATGTTGTGGAAATTCGAATAAAATTATGTCATTTGGTTATGATTGAACACCTACATCACATCCACCATATTTTTTTTTTTTTTATTTATTTATTTAAATTATTATTATTATTATTATTATTATTATTATTATTATTATTATTATTATTATTATTATCGCGCGTAAAAAAAAAAAAAATGGCGATAAATAATAATTTATGTTGTTTGTACCATGTTCGATATTATAAAACGCACACACTCACACACGTTAATGTTTTTTTATTATTATTATTATTAAGGTCAAACGTTTCACGTGAATAATAATAATAATAATAATTTTTTTTCCTTATTAAACTTTAACGTATTGATAGAAAGAGAGAGATAGAAAATTAATAATAATAATAATAATTATAAATTATATAGACCTATATCCGGAGAGAACGTCCAATAGTGTTGATTTTCCAGCTCCCGAAGGTCCCATTATAGCTATGAGTTTTCCAGGTGGAAAACGACCGTTGACCTCGTGTAATATTTTTTTTTTACCTGGAAACAAAATAAAAAAATTTAATTTATCATCATCATCATCATTATCGTTAATTAAATAAAATTAATTAAATAAAATTAATCCCGTTGTGTTATCATTTGAAAATCTTATCACAAAATTTTTATGTCATAACGTTATGTACCAAAAACTTAATTTTTTCATTCGATTCACGTAGAGAAAATTTTCAGGTAGAGATACAGGTACAGGTACAGGTACATAAATTTACATAAGCGTAAATAAAAATAATTAATGCGAAACAAATAATAATTAATCAATTAAAATAATACGAATTATGTTTTTTGTAAACTTTAATACTTTTGTTAAACGTTGGAACTCATACCTGAAATAAATAAATAAATAAATAAATAAATAATAATAATGATAATAATAATAATAATTTATTTAATAAAAAAAAAATCAATTAAGGTTTTGTTTTTTTTTTTTTGTTTTCAGGCATTTAAAAATTTTACAATCGTGAAAATAATTTTACGAATGAATTTTTTAAAAAATCGATCGTTTGTTTAAAAAACACACGAAAAAAGAAAAATGGCGTCTTTTGAAACATTTAACAGAAAACAAGGTTAAGGATTTTTAAAATTTGAGTCAGAGAGAATCTTGTTTATGGAATATATATATATATAACTCAAAGTCCAAAATTCAATTTCCTGGTTTTTTTTTTTTTTCTTTTTTTTCTCGCTTCGCATAACTCATTTTTTTTTTTTTTTTTAGCATTGTTACACTCATTCGACAAACAAACAAACAAACAACAAACAAAACATCCGTTCTCGTTGTCTTAATATTATATCCCAAACGATTAGTAATTGATAAGATAGATATGATCTATGGAAACGAGTTTGTTTGCCAAAAAACGTGTCATCGTTACAAATTTGGCAAAACAAGCATGTCATTTAAAAATAATTTTCGGAATAAAAAAATAATTAGAATTTGTACTTGAAACGAATTATAAGATGAAATACAAAAAAAAAAAAAAAAATAAGGATTATCTTACTCCGAATGATGAACCTCTGGATAAAAAATAATAATAATAATAATAATTTAGGAATGGTAACCAAGCCAAGTTATTCACTTAAACGAATTGTAAAATCCTTGACTAGTTTTACCTCCTGTATCCATCTCTCTCTCTCCTCTCTCTCTCTCTCTCTCTTTGTAGACAAAAAAAAAAAAAATGTTGAACAATAAAACGTGAACTTGAAACTTTTATGAAAAAAAAACTTAAATAATCAATTAAATCACTGGAACATGGGATAATCCTACGATTGGGATTTTTCTCCAGTTTTGTTACGAGTAAAAAAATCTGGAATAAATTTAAATTAATTTATTATTGACAACAATAGACGACGACATTTTCAAACAGGAATTTTTCTATCTGATTAAGCTATAAAATAAAAATTAATATTCAATTATAAACTAATTAAATTGTTTTCATCTTCTTCTTCTTCTGCTTCTACTTCTTTTTCTTCTAAATTTAGTTAATATTTTGTTATCAAACTGTCCTCAATAATAATAATAATAATACTATGACGTCAAATTTTTGCTTCCCTAATTAAGTTATCGTAAATGAAATGACGCGTGTCTCCTGTCGTGCAAAAAATAAAAAAAAATTCCTGTCGTTTGCTATTACTTATTTACAAAAAGGAAAAAATTTATTAATTGTACAAATACATAAATAAATAAATTCGAAAAGGGTAATTATTATTCACTCTCTCTCTCTCTCACTCTCTTTCTCTTTGTTTCACTCTCTCTCTCCCTCTCTTTCTCTTTATTTCATTCTCTCTCTCTTTCTCTTTGTTTCACTCTCTCTCTCTCTCTCCCTTTCTCTTTCTCTTACTCTCTCTCTCTCTCTCTCTCTCTCTCCCTTTCTCTTTCTCTCACTCTCTCTCTCTCTCTCTCTCTCCCTTCTCTCTTTCTCTTACTCTCTCTCTCTCTCTCTCCTTTTCTCTTTCTCTTACTCTCTCTCTCTTTCTATTTGTTTCACTCTCTCTCTCTCTCTCTGTCTCTTTCTCTTTCTCTTTGTTTCACTCACTCTTCCTCTTTATTTCACTCTCTCTCTCTCTCTCTCTCTTTCTATTTGTTTCACTCCCTCTCTCTCTCTCTCTCTCTTTCACTTTATTTTACTCTCTCTCTTTTTTTCTCTCTCTCTCTTTCTCTTTATTTCACCCCCTCTCTCTCTCTCTCGGTAGCAAAGAATAATAATAATCCCTTTGCATCGATAAATAATTTTCCACGTGGCTTATTTTCTTTAAAATTATTTATTGATAACACGATTTCGACCTTTGTCTCTTTTTCATATGATAATATACATAAAGTTTTCACGAGCTGAATCATTAAAATAAAACAAAAAAAAAGAAAATTTTTTTTATTATAATGTTGGTAATACATTACTAATAATAATAATAATAATAATAATAATAATAATAAACTACTTTGGTATTTAAATGATATTTTCCATACTCTCAACATTTTCCTTCCATGAATAATAAAATAAAAAAAATATTTAAAAAAATCCTTCCATTATTTTTTTTTCCTTGTCTTAGTCTTAGTCGTCTTATAGTGTGTCGATTTAAATATCGATATTTTCGATATATCGAAATCATCATATTAAAAACCACTTTAATATTAAATTTAATATAAAATCATTTAACGGTCAGTAATAAAACTCCAAATCGATTTTCTTTTGGCATTTTCCAAAAAATTTCCCTTACTTCAAATTATTATTATTATTATTATCGTTAAATAATAATTTTTTTGTTATAAACATTCGATATTTTGTTCGAATCGATTTCGATAGAAACCAAAAATGAAAAAAAAATTTTTTTTTTTATACTGCGGTTAAATTAAAATATTTCATGGTCATTTATTCACTAGTCGAGACCCCAACAAACAAATTTAATGTATATATATTATTAACCTTGCACAAAAGTTCAATAAACAATTATTATTATTATTATTATTATTATTATTATTATTATTATTATTATTATTATTATTATTATTATTATTATTATTATTATTATTATTATTATTATTATTATTATTATACGTAAAATTTTAAAATTCAGGTTGGTCAGTTACTTTATACATAAGTCATAATAAAAACAAATTTTTTTTATGTTACGAAACGTTTTAAAATTTTTTCTTTTTTCTTAAAAATAATTATCATTATCGTGAATCTCCCCAGATGATGATGATAATGATGATGATGATAATGATGATGATGATGATGATGATGATGATAATGATAGGTCAAGTAATTTAGGTTAGATGAATTATAACAAAGCTATTATAATTTTTTCATTTCAAATTTTGTGCCGTTTTTTGTCGATATTCGCGTTTTAGCCCCCCAAAGCCCCCCAAACAAGTAACAAACAAGCAAACAATTTTAAAAATTGTCCATTTATTATTTTTTATTTTATTGTAAAAAAAATTTGTTTGTTTTCAACTCTTAAAGTTAATAACAAACAAATCAATGATAATTTTATCATTTAAATTATTATTATTAAAAGAAAGAAAGACAAAAAAAATTTTTTTTTTTATTTTATTTTATCTATATTATCATTATCAATTTTGTCCTTGATTATTAATATTAAAACTTAAAAAAATAATAATAAAATAAAAAGCCATGAAAAGTTCATTAAAAAAAAAAAAAATTAATAACAATATATATATGTATGTATGATTCGTTACACGTTAATAAATTTGTAAGATTACTTCAATAATAATAATAATAATAATAATAATAATAAATTGTTTTATCTGAATGATAAATGTCATTTAAAAGTTAATAATAATTTTTTTTTTTTTTTGGGGGGGGGGGAGCTGTAATTTTTTTCCCATTTAAATAAATCAAAATGGAGTTAAAGAGAAAAATGAAAATTTTTTAAGTAAAAAAATTTTTGCGTTTATAAACATTAAAAAAAAAAAAAAAAAGAAAAGTTAAAAATAATAATAATAATACTCAACATCCTTTTTGTTTTATGTTTTTAAAATCAAGTTGGTTAGTGGGACATTTAAAATAAAAGTTAAAATCAACAACAACAACAACAACAAGCAAGCAAGGACAAAACATTGTTGGTTTCCTCTCAGGCAAAAATCATAACAACAACAACAACAACAACAACTAATAAATTTTTTTTTATTTTATTTTCTTTTTAAATTTTCATTTAAGACTCTCCATTTATACAACCATCGAATCCAAACGTAAAAATTTACATTTAATTATTATTATTATTATTTTAATTTAATACCGGAAATGAATTTTGTTTTTCCATTTTTTTTTTTGTAAATGGAAATTTTTTTAAAACAAAACTATACACTTTTCTTCAATTTGCAAAAAATAAAAAAAAAGTTACTTTTCAATTAAAGAAATTTAATTAACTAGTTTAACAACTTTCCAAAAGGTTTTTCCCCTCCTCCCCTCCCCTCCTACATAACTTGTTTAAACTTGGTAAAAATATTTACTTTCTTTACTTACAACTGATGAGAGTAATGAAGTATTTAAAAAAAATTATCTAACCTCAAATAAATTTTTTTCTCCTTCTTAACTTTAAAAAAATTCTATAATCAATCAATCAATCATCAGAATTTACAAAAAAAAGGGTTCATCGTCTCCACCACCACCACCACCATCAGCATCATCATCTCTACCACTATCATCACCTCTACCATCACCATCGTCGTCGCCATCATCACCACCACCAACACTAGCATCCTCTCCATCAGCATCATCATCATCACCCTTACCATCATCATCATTATCATCACAAGCACCTTCATCATCATCATCATCAACGAAAGCAAGAACAACAACATCATCATCATCGCCATCATCACCACCACCAGCACTACCATCCTCTCCATCAGCATCATCATTATCAAAGCAAGCACCTTCATCATCATCATCATCACCAGCAGCATCATTATCATCATCATCAACGAAAGCAAGAACAACAACATCATCATCATCGCCATCATCACCACCACCAGCACTACCATCCTCTCCATCAGCATCATCATTATCAAAGCAAGCACCTTCATCATCATCATCATCACCAGCAGCATCATTATCATCAACAACAGCCACAACAACAGCAGAGCCATCATCACCATCACCACCACCACCATCATCAACAACATCTCTTTCTTTTAAATGTTTATTCAAGTTAGTTATTTTAAAGGTTCATTCATCATCTTCACCACCACCACAATCAGCATCATTATCATCTCCACCACCGCCATCATCATCATCATCAACAACAGCAGAACCATCATCACCACCACCACCACCACCATACCATCATCATCAACATCTCTTTCTTTCAAATATTTATAATCTCCCACCCTATTTCTTTTTAAAAACTTTTCATTTTAGAATTTGTATTGTAACAATACAAATAACACATAATAAATTATTATTATTATTATTAAAAGTATGTAATTCCATGATGACACAAAAATGTATATTTGAATATGTCATAAGAAAATATTTGAAAATAAAAATACAAACAGTAACACACACACACAGATATATGTGGGTATGTATGTAAAACATAATAAACAAGAGACAACATTCATTTTGTTTGTTTATATCTTATATGTTTAATTTAAAAATTAGTCAGATAATTAAGTCTAACGACTATTTATATACCCAGACAAATGAATATGTTTGTTTTATTATTTACAACTTTTGTCTGACATGTTTTTTTTTCCTAAAACCTATTATTATTAGGTATATATATATATGATAAAACAATTTAGTTTAAAATGGATTTACCAAAGTATTAGTTATTTAATGAATATTATAAACTACTCGTGGGTGAGTATACAGGTATCAAAGTTCATAAATTTTTTTTTCCATTTATGATCATTTCAATCAATCAATCAATCATTCAATCATACCTTAAGTTATTATTCAGACTCAAATATACTACTTGATAGTTTGTCAATTTTCCTTATTCAGTAAAAAATTATTAACTTTTTCCATTGAAAGTTTAAATAATAATAATAATAATAATAATAAATGATTTTGATCTCATTTTGTTTTATTTTAATAGGAAAAAAAAAAAAAAGAGAAAATTAGGTTAAGGTTTACTATTTTTTTTTTTTTTTTAAATTCTGACATTTTATCTTGACTTTGTCATTAGAGAAAAAAAAAACTCAAATTTTTAAAATGATTTTCATTTCGAGAATATACTAAACAATATTCAATGATTTGATATTAACAAAACCATCCCGTGAGTATTTTTTGTCATGAATTTAATGAATTACTCAACGCCGCCATTTTTATTTCTAATAAAAATAATTTTTTAAACGTTTATAACGAATTTTTTAACCTTTTGGTAGTGTTGAATTCTATAAAATATCAAATCCCATTTGTAAAACTTATGCGTTAATAAATATATATATATATATATATATATATATATATATATATATATATATATATATATTATATTAAATTAATTAATTAATTTGAGTTAAGAAAAAAAATTTGATGATGGCCACACACACTAATTAAGGGTATCATCCATTTTGTTATTATGTCGATTCGTTTTCTTATTAAAAAAAAAATTATCTCTTAACGATTATAATTTTACGCCTAAATAATAATAATAATAAAAAAAAAGTTTGACGTTATATCATTATCTTTTCCAATAATAATAATAATAATAATATTTAAAACGAATCATTTGAATTTGCAAAAAAAAATTATGATGAAAAACAATATAAAATTCGAATCGTTTACAAAAAAACAAAAATGGCCGCCGCGAAATTAATTAAAATATAAAAACATTTCAAATTAATATAATATTTATGAAATTTAAACTCATTTCACGTAAAATAAACCAAAATTTTCAAATTATGATTAAAAAAAAATTCGAATTCGATTCGATTCGAATGTTTTTTTTTACATAATAATAATAATTTGAAAGAAAATATTAAATAGAATGTTCGCGAATCCGCGGAGTTTAACGGTTTTTTTTAATTCGAGCGTTGCAATAGAGAAAACGAAGAAAAATTTTTCATACCTTTTCGAAAACCCAAAGATGCTTTAAATAAAACATTTCTGAATTCAATATCGACGGGTTCGATTTTAACAATTTGTGATACGTTATTCGTACCATTTGTAATTATTCCATTCATTTTAAAAATATCATCATTTTCCGTTGATTCAATTTGACTCGCTTCGTGCATTATTACATCCATTATGATTTTTTATTTATAATAATAATTTCACTATTTAATTTATTATTATTATTCGAGTCGTGAAATCACATTTGACACAATTATTATTTAATATTCTTCCTACACTTTTATTTTTTAACATAAAACACACTTATTTACACGAAACGAAAAAAAAAAAAAAAAAATTTCTCTCAATTCAATATTTACATCATCATTGTTAAAAAATTCGCGGAAAATAAAGACGCGAACGACGACGCTACGAACTCGGTTAGGTGAACTAACCAATGCCACGACACAAATGATGATGATGATTATTATGTACACGATTTAATAACGTTGTTACAATTGCCTATTTGATATTTGTAAGGACTTTGTTGCCTAAGGCTTATAAATAATCTACTGATTACTACTATTGCTACTACTACTACTTTATTAAACAAAGAAAATCTTTATCTTATTTATTTATGATTTGTGACAAAACGAAAACAAAAAACCCGATGAGTTTCGGGGTAGTAACCGGCCGACAATCAATCTTCTGCTCCCCCGACGATTTTTAAAAAAATAACGACGACGTCGTCACGCATAAAAATTATATATTTTCATTTATCCGTGCAATCCTTTTAATTTTAATTAAATTTTAATTAATAATGTGAAATTCGAATACGTTTTTATCATTTTTTAAATTATTTTCAATTCGGATTCGAATAAAAAACCGTTAAATTATGTGAAATATAAAATGTGGCATCGTTTGTCATCCATCGTTTTGCCGTGTAAACAAAACTTTAATTACAAATCGGGGGGGGAGGGGGAAATAGTTCTTATCAACTGAAATTCGAAATGGAAACAACCAAAAAAAGGGTCAGAATAATATAAATTTTTGGACTTTGTTAACTCGTGTGCGACAAACAAACACTAAAAAAAAAAAAACAAAAAAGTAAACGTTAACTTGTTATTAGATATGATTAATCCGAATGTAAACAAAGATGACCAAACTTTTTGTGTCAAAAAAAAATCCCCATCTTAGGTAAATCAGTTAAGCGTGCGTTTAATTAAATAATTAAACACTTTATTATTATTATTATTATTATTATTTACAAAAACATTTTTTTTTTCTTCTCTTTTCAGAAAATTAAAACGTGGCAATTTAGTTTATTAACGACAACAACAACAATCAAAAAAAGCTTAGATAAGGCAAAAAAAAACTATGAAAAAGGAGTTGACGAATATTTTTTGTGTAATTTTATCGTCGACTATACTGGTATCAAAAAAAAACAAACGGCTAGACTTCTAAAAACAAAATGGCGGACGGCGGACAAAAAACAAAAAAAAAAAAAAAGAAAAAAAATTTGATAAGTTTTTAAAGTAATTATTCCTCCTTCTCTCTCCGACGTTGTATTTCTTATTTTTTTATGCTGAATCTAAAAATTTTCCTTACGCAATCAAATTATTATTATTATTATTATTATTATTATAAGGAAAATAAAAGACTGCTGACTCCACGTCATATCATCATGATAAAAATGCTTTTGATGCATTTTTTTTTTTTAAAGAAATAATTCTCTAATGATTACTATACCATTTGTAAACTGATGACGTCACAAAAGAACCCAAAATGGCCGTCGGCTACGGACACGAAAAAAAAACAAACAAACAAAAGAACAAACACAATCAAACCTTTAAAAATTTAAATACCTGAAAATAAAAAAATTGTTACATGGTACGGATCCTGTAAAAAGAAAAACATCAAAGAAAAAATTTTGGGAGCCGCAACAAAAAGATACAGGAACAATCCTGGAAAAAATTAATAATAATAATGATGATGATGATGATGATGATACCTTTTCGATATTTTTGCCTAATCTTCCGTAAAAAATTTTTCCGGCGGAACCGGAAAAAGATGAAAAAAAAAAAAAAAAAAAAAAAAAACAAAATTAATTTTCTGTATAAATAATTTCTTTTAAATATTATTATTATTATTATTATTATTATTATTATTATTATTATTATAATTATTACTATTAGCATTATTATCATTATTATTATTATAATTTTAAGAGAGAACAAATGTACAAGGAATGTCTTAAATAAATCACTTTTTACATCAATGATACACGGATGCTGGAGTGCACTTGAGAAGACCCGTCTGACTCGAATTCCCGCTGTTGATCGATACGACCGATTGTTCTTCGAGTGTATCCAAATCCAAAGCGCTTTCGATCATGGTCGATTCTTGGAGTTTCCGAAGTTTGCTCGCGCTTAAATTATTCCCAGAGTCGCATTGTTGTTTGTTTGCGGATTCGCTGCCGCTGCTGCTGCTGTTGCTGCTGTTGCACGTTCCTCCTTCCGACGGCAGATTAACGTTTCCCACCGCCGCCGCCGCCGCCGCCGCCGCCGAGGAATTTTTCCCATCGAAATCTCCGTGCAACGTTCGATCAATGTTCGACATTATTATGTTTTCGAACGAATTAGGCAATATTTGTACTTGATCGATATCGCTTAAATTATCGAATCCGTCTAAACCTTTTAGAAGAAAAATAATAATAATAATAATAATAATAATAATAATAATAATAAAAACATTGATTTATTTTGTTTGTCAATTTTCCCCGCCGCCGCCGGGAAAACCGCCTCCCCTCCCCCTCTCCCTCCTCATTCCCTCTTTCTTTTCTCCTCCTCTTCCCTCCCTCTTTCTTTCTCCTCCTCCTCCTCTCTCTCTCTCTCTCTCTCTCTTTATTTCACTCTCACTCTCTTTCTCTTTCTCTCTTTCTTCCTCTCTCTCTCTCTCTCTCTCTCTCTTTCTCTCTTTCTCCCTTTCTCTTACTCTCTTTATTTCACTCTCTCTCTCTCTCTTACCTATGCTTTGCAAAGTCGCGTTCGACGGACTCCTTCGTTTCTTCGTCATCATCGTCATCGTCGTCGTTGTTCCATCATTGGAAAAAACGACTTCGTCCAAGTCTATTTGCTCTGTTAAATTTCTCACGGCGGCAGCGTCGTCGGTTGTCGACATCGGTTGTTCGTTGGCTATCAATTGCTGTATGCTGCTCGCGTTCGAACCTGGAAAATTTTTCATCGAATTATTTTACATATTTCAATTATAAATACACAACAGCAACAACAACAACAACAACAACAACAATACCGACGGTGAAAAAAAAAAAAAATTAAATTAAATTAAAAAAAAAAAAAAACTTAAAATAATAATAATAATAATAATAATAATACATAAACAAATGTTGTTTTTTTTTTAGCTCTACATAAAATTTAATAAAAAAAAGATAAACAAATAATAATAATAATAATAAGAAAACATTCGCAAAATAAATAAATAAAATCAACGACAAACAAAATCCGTACGAAATCGAATGCATGTTAAAAAAATCAACAACAACAACAGCAACAAACAGGAGTTAATAATAATAATAATAAAATGTGCAACAAATAAAATTTAATTATTTTCCTTGCGGGGGTCGGGCGGGGGTGTTGCATACGAGTCGTGTGCGTTTTCTCATAACGACGAAAAAAAAAAAATCAACAAACAACTTTTTTTTTTTTTTTAATAACAAATTCAAACTCACCATTAATCCATCGTTTCCGGCATTTAACAAACAAAAAAAAAAAAAAAGGCGGGAAAAAAATTTAAATTTTAAAAGTTTAATCCGACGAATAAATTATAATAAACGTTTCTTTTTTTTTGTTTTTTTTTTTTTTTTTTTTTTTTTTTCCCCCGTTTAAAACTTTATCCGATTTAATTTTATTTATATTTTATTATTATTATTATTATTATCATTATTATCATTTTACAGTAAGACACTGAATTGAATACATAATTTCATTTAAAAAGACTTTTTTTTTTTACAGAAAAAAAACAAACAAAAAATTTTCTTTTCGCAAATAATAAAATAATTAATTAGAAAAAAATCGAAGACAATCAATCAATCAATCAATCAATCAGTCAATCATTTTCACGTAATAATTATCGAAACGAGAAAATAAAAAAAAAAAAAAGAAAAAAATTTATTTTAAGGTCGAAAAAAAAAGAAAGGTTAATTAAATTAACATGTCTTTAACGAGAAAGAAAGAAAGACAGAGATAGAGAAACAGTGAGAGAGAGAGAGAGAGAGAGAGAGAGAGAGAGAGAGAGAGAGAGAGAGAGAGAGACAGGAAACGAGTATCACAGGCACGCGTATGGAGAAAAAAAAGCGAAAACGGAAAAGGCAAAAAGTGAAAGTTCCGGGACGGAATAAGAAAAAAAAATCAACCGGAAGATGAATCGATCGATCGATCGATGGATCGATTCATCTCGAATCTCTTTCGAAACGGAAACAAAACAAAACAAAGACAAAAAAAATTGATTCATTCCGATTTTTGGGACAATAAACAAACGTGACGTTGATATTGAGCAAAGAAAGTGATGATAACACACACACGTGCGTCGCGCAAAGTTCATTTCCGGTTCGGCGCGAGTTTTTTAAACTGTGACAATGGTTCGATTTTCGTTTGACGAAACAAACAATGAAACAAACGTACAAACGACGAAAGTTAGAGAGAGAGATAAAAGTTAATCCACAGCCGTTAAAAACTTTTTAAAAAAAAAAAACGGATGACATCAACCGGAAGAACTTGACGAAACTACTACTGCTACTACTACCACTACTACCACTTCTCCATTAAAATTAAACGGAGTGTTTGTTGTCAACGTTCGTTACGTCATCGTTTCCTTCCGCATTAACGTCATCCGTCACTTCCGCGGCCGACGGCGACGACGTCATCGTCTCGCAAATTTTCTCATCCGATTGTCGCTCGTTGATATCGACGGCCCTTTCTCCCGTACTTTCCTTTTTGGAAAAACATCGATCCCTCTCGATCCTTTGGGAAACATCTTCGACGAATTCGTCTCTCCGATGTCTTTCCACGTTACCACCGTTATAATATCCCGTTTCTTTTCTCTGCTTGACAAAATAATTTCGATTTTGTTCTCTCACGTACGTCGTACGGCTATCCGTCGTCCACGTTTCGAAAGGAAGCATCAACGTTTTGTAGGGACTCATAACCGGATAAAATTGATTTTGACCGAAAAATGATTTTTCAAATTTTGACGTTTCGACGTTCGATAATTGGTCTCCTACTCCTCCTATGGGTCTCACCATCGAGAGTTCTTTTCTGAACGTTGTCGTTTGGGTGTCTGGAATGTAGTAGCCGCGGGGTAACAAGTGAAAAGGAGGTCCGTACGGATTATTGACCAACGATTGGAATGTTCCAGGACCGTAATTCGATTTTTGCGTATTCAACAGGGTAAAATGTTCGCTTTGAGCAATTTTAAATGGACTCCGAACGTCGTTTGAATTTTTCGTACCGTTCGAGGCGGCATCATCGTCGTTCGGAACGATCATCAATTTCCTATATTGATTCGTCTTTCTGGGAATCGTGTACGCTCCCAATTTACCCGTCGATCGTTCCGGAAAATGTCGGCTGCTGCTTTCGCTTTTCCTCCCGCCACCATTTCTCGAATCGTAATCCGTTGAACATTTATCAAAAGAACGAGATTCGACGTACGTGTTAGGTTCGAGTATTCCCTTTTCCGTCGTTCTCGGTTGATATTCGTTTTGATGGTATCCCGCCAATTGCAAACCCCGGAAATCTTGAACGCTCGATGCAAAATTCGGATAAAATCTTTGATATCTTATCACGTTCGGCGCATCCGAATCCCACGAACGTTTACCACTCTCCCCAACGGCCGCATCACTTTTCCCATCGAGCGTTTCCACGCTCCCGATTTCTTTCGATTTGTGTTTTTCTCTCTCCGGAACGGGTTCCCTTTCGTGATTTTTCAACGTTTGTTGAACCATTTCCGGTCTCGTCATGTTCATTAATTTTAAATTTGTTAAATTGTTCGCGATGTTCGGATAAATAAACTCACCGTTCGCCGAATTATTATTCTGATGTGACAGTAGAGAGCTGTTCTGCTGCAGATTGTAAATGTTGCTCGGTTTGCACTGCTGCTGTAGAGGATTCGGCGTTCCGCAAGCATCGTTCAAAGATGGAAAAACTCCTCCGCCGTTCTAAAAAAACAAACGAAAAAAAAATATAACAAACGCGTCCTCATTCCGTACGTTAAAATCAAAAATCAAAAACAAACAACAAACAACGACAACATGATTTCTCTCACGTCAAATTATATATATATATATAAAAAAAAAAAAAAAATTTCGGTCAATAAAATATTTTTTTCCTTTTTCTATAATTTTTCACCGGTGTAGAATTTTTTTTAGAATCCTTTTCGAAAAATACAAACAACAAACCATGCGTCGTGATCGGAATTCGAAAAAAAAAAAAGAAAACAAAAACAAACGGAATCAAACTCTTGGTGTGTGATGGTTGTTTAAGTGATTATTTGGAAAAGACAAACAATTGCTGACACTTCGTGGCAAATGCAAAAAAAAAAAATACTCCTTCTTCTTCTTTATTTCTTTTTCGAAAGAATTTCCCACAGCAATTTCAACTCCGATACCTTTTTTTTTATAACATTTTTTTTTCTACTTCGAACGGGTATTTTTTCTTTCTTTCTTTCTCTCACTTCACGCCATGCTGGTCATTTCACGCGACGTCTGACAAAAAAGTCATAGAATTTTTGTTTTGTTTTTGGTGTTATCATTATTATTATTATTATTATTATTATTATTATTTATATACAACATAAGGATTTAAAATTTAAATTTGATAACAAACTAACCATCGGCTGAGATTTGACGGCTCCGTATTGAGACCTCGAATGAGCGGAATCATTTTGCTTGTTCGATTCTACCATCATGTCTTCCGTCACGATTCCCCGCCTGTCTGAAAATAAACGCGTCAAAAAATTTAAAAAAATATACACACGCACATTTTCCACAACTTTCGCACAATTATACGCATGTTTACTCACCTAGCAAACTGGGAGGTACGGGACCGCACAAAACGTGAAAACAATTCGAGCAAACGTTACCCTCCGAATACGGATTGAAACCTTCCTGACCTCTCTTGCTCGAAAAGGATCCTTTTATCTGGAATTTAAAAACCGTTTATCAATATTACGAACGTTTTCACGATAAATAATAATAATAATAATTATTTGTAGAAATGTGAACCGACGTCTTCGTTTGTCGTTTGATTACTCGATGCCAGGTACGTGTGAAAACCCGCAAGACCGAGCACGCTCCATACAGAGAAAAAACAAACGATCGCTATGACTATAGATGCTGGACTGTCTTTGATGGCATCTATAAAAGGTTTATCGTCGCGAGTGACTGAAAGAGAGAAAAAGAAAAAAATGTTTCATTCGGTCGCCATTGTTCGATTACACGAAACGGGGGAGGGGTCGTCGGATAACTTATTCATTTATTTACTTACTCATAATGAGATGAGTTATTACGCAAGCGAATATAAAAACGCATAAAAAGGCTAGAGACGTTATGAACATGTAAAAATATCTATAATTTCTCCGTCCGACGCAATTTCCAACCCACGGACAATGATGATCGAATCTATCTGCAACGTGAAAGGAACGAAAAGGAAAATTCAAGAAGTCGTTCCGAAAAAAGGCACCTCGATATACCTTTTTCCTTTTGTTTGATACTCACCCACGCAATTGTCGCACAAGCTGCAGTGGGAAGCTCTCGGCGGTCGAAATATCTTACAAGTGAAACAATATTTCAATTTAACGGGTTGACCTTTTATAAGGATTTCTTTCGTGCGAGGAGGTGGTCTGTAAGTCGGCGAATTCGACGCGTTCGGAACTTCTAGAAAAAATCAAAAAATGACAAAATCACAAAACGCATATAAAAAGGCATCAAATCGAATCGGATCGAATTGGTAGGTATATTACCTATTTGCTTGTCGAAAAGAGCCGCTTCGTCTGCTGTCGCCCTAGGTATGACACCAGGATCGGAAAAACTCGTACGAAGCAAAGCGCTCATCGTGAATAAAAACAGGAGACCGCTTATGACGGGAATGACGGGACTCACTCTTATGGCCAAAAAAGGACAGCTATAAAGACACACACACAAGAAAAAAAAAAAAAAAATTAATTCGGATTAATTTCAGGAAGTGATTAAATTTCTTCTTCTTCCTCTTCCTCCTCCTCCTCCTCTTCTTCTTCTTCTCCACCTTCCACGTTTTTATTTTTAAATCTCTCCTCTTAAAAAAAAAAAAAAAAAATGTCGGGTCAAAAATGGCTGGTTAAACGAATTTTTCCTATTTTTGACCTTGGGGAGGGGGGGGAAGAGAAAAGTTTTCAAGAGGTCGTGAAAACCTTTTCCAACCTTTTCACTTCCAATCACATAAAAAAATAATAATAATAATAATTTTTTCCACCAAGTGGTTTCAACATTCTTCGACAACACAAACAATCGTGGCATTAACAATCGAGTTAATTAATTAAACGGTGAGATAGAGAGAGAGAGAGAG